ATTTTTTAATATTAATAATAATATTATTAATTAACCTATCACCATCAATCCACCCACCACAACAAACCTTAATTCATTTCACATAATCTCATTTCACACCAACCTATTCTATTGTATCAATCAACACCTCAGCCAATGACTAAAGCAACGTTACTATGCAGGATGGGCGTAGCATCGTCATCACCTAGTGCGGACAAAGCACGTTGCCATTGCTCACGATGCAACAGCGATGCACGCCAATCGTCGATTCAATTAAGACTTAAAATCCTTTAAACTAAAAATCGAAAAAAGCGATCAAAAACAAGGTTCAATAGCAAACCGATAACTCTATTTAACCGGTTATTTTTTAATTTAAAAAAGGTGAAATTACACCTAACCATGTTTTGCAACTTCCAATTTCAAAAATCAGGTTTAAGAATTATATATACAAAAATCAGATCTTATTTTTAAATAATAATAATATTATTATTAATTAACCTACCACCATCAATCCACCCATCACAACAAACCTTAACTTATTTCACACCATCTCATTTCACACCAATCTATTCTACTACATCATTGAACACCTTCGCCAACGATCAACAGCGGTGTCGCTATGCGGGACAGGCACATCATCATTGTTGCCTAGTGCGGACAAAGCGCAACGCCACTATTCAGACAGCAGTAGTGATGCACGCCCATCGTCGCAGCTTCGTGCGCAGCAACGATGCACTGTTACTTCATTGATTGTTTCGCTAACATGCAGTGGTGTCGCGCTTCACGTATTGACAATGGCCCACTTCGCGTATGGTCCCATTTTCTCTTCTTCTATTTGTGCTGTGTTGATGGTTGTGGTGTGATGTGGTAGATGAAAAAAGATGGTAAATTTGAGGAAATTGTGGTGGTGATTTGTGGATACGGGTATGGTAATTGTGCAGCGGGGATAGTGGCTATGGGTCAGGGGATTTTTTTGGTGAGGTGGTGATTGCGATGCAACAGTGGTGCTGGTATAGGTGGTTGATAGAGGCGTGGTGTTAGTTTAGTTGGAGTGGTGGTGATGGCGGCTTCTATATTTTGGTAGTGCCAGTGGAGGTGCTTATAGTGGCGTGGCTATGGCAATGGGAATGAAGGAAGGGTGGTGGTCGGCAGTGGTCGTGGCAGTGGGTGCGATAGTTGTGGATGTTTGTGACCAATAAATATATGTGACCAATTATTTGAGGTTGTGATGAATAAATTGGATATTTTGTGATCAATCAATAATATTTAACCTAAAAGTTTGAGTCATGATTTATAAAATTTCTAATTTGTGACCAATGGCCAAATTGTGACCTATAAGTTTTTTAATTTGTGATCATAAAATAATTTGCGACCTATAAAATTTTGAGAAATAATCCGTGAACAATTAATTTGATAATATGTGATGAATGAATTAATTGTAACATATAAGTAAGCACATGTGACTATTAATTGTATAATCGTGACCTTACTATAATTAATTAATTAATTAATTAATAATATTTGATTGAATTTTAAAACTTAAAATCTGAAAATTAAATTGCTCCATACTAAAACCTGACTTGTGATTTTTTCCCAAAATAAAACTCATCAGGCCCAATGTTAAAAAAGCTAATGACTCAGAATTTATTATTTTCCTACCATTTGCTGGCCATTTTATAGTTTCTTTCGTTTATCTTTTTTCCTTTCCTAGTTTTAATGTTGCATTATTTAGTGCCCGTTTGGTGCTCATTTTAATGAGCTTTTTTGGTCCAATTCTCATTTACCTACAATGCGGGTTGGACAGTACGAGACAACCTTCCAAAGTTCCCTGTCAGAGATTTTAATTTGTGCACAATGCTATTGAGACTTGCTTTCCCATTTTGCCCTAGTCTTGCACTTGCTTTCCTCACATTTCCCTTCACTTCTACCTTTCCCAATCGACCCACTACGCGCCGCTTGCCTCGCCATTAACTGGATCTCTCTTCTTACCATTTTCACTGCTCCTTCGACCACCATAGCTTCTTAGTTCAACGACATACCAGCGGGGTTTAAGCTATTCCACAAGGGAATGGCGCGCCAATTTTTCCTGCATCATTTCCAACCAACGTCTGTCCGACCATCCTACTAGTATCTATCCAATGTCCAATCGGGGAGAATTAATCTCTTTCACAACCACTGGATTCTAGCTTCTCCATCCTGTCAACGCCTCACCTCCAGCAAGATTGGACGCCAATTCATTTTCAGTTCCTTCGAAATTCTCTCCTGCACCACAAATTCACTGGCGACAATGGACAACTACGGCCAACAATGGGACTCTTTTCCCGAACACCTGGTAAACATTCAACATTCTTCCTGCTTCCGTACATCGTCGCATATCTGCTAGGGACGAGAAGAAATTGTTTTTGTTCCCTATTTTCCCAATTGTAAATTGCTTCCATTCTACATGTGACCCTGAACACCTGAATGTGAGTTTCAAGTCTAGGAATTATGAAGCTTAGTTGTGCTACTAATTTTCAAGAAGTTAAATAGTGAGTATACGATACAATGTTGGATGCAGCATCGTGTAACCCCATTTTTCGGTTTATGTGTTTCCAATTTTTGTGCTCTTTGTACACTTCTACGTAGTATGGCAACATGAAATTGTCAATAATATCCTACTGTACCCTTTTTTCCCACTGTTATATCATCCAAAATTAAACACCGTTCCACACAGCGTTGTAAGATGCCAGGATAAGTGCATGTTACAGTGAATAGGCTTATTTTCTCCCGCCCCTTCACCAACTAATGCGTTGTGTTCTATCTGTTCAATTATCGCTACAGTTTTTTGTAACACATTGTTTACCCTGCAGCACGGCACCAGTGGCGACGCCCATCCGATGTACTTTACTGCATCTGACCCGCAAGAGCCTCAACCAACAATGCGAACATCTGCCAAATGGAACTCCTTGGAGCTCAGGGTCTTCATCGCATCATGTGAAACTGTGATTACAGAAGGCCACCGATTCAACAAGTCAGCAGGAAAGAGTTGGACCACGTTGCAAATGAAAAACTAATGGAGGAAACTGCAGGAATAGCACAAATACATGTTCGAGCTGCTATGATGCATTGGAATTGCGTACCGCTCGAGCACCGGTACAATCATCGCCCCTGAGCATTGGTGGGAATCCAAAATCAAGGTATCCTATGTTGTGCTCCATTAAAACTTGTGCACAATACCTTTCATGTTTCAAGTATTTAGACTCATGTTGTATACACAACACATGTTAAGTACTAGCTTTTTATATCAAATTAGGATTTTCTTTCACAAATAAGTTGTTGATTCCGAACCCATTTATCCTTTTATGAACATTCCCTTATTAATATTAATAATAATAATATTATTGGTATTGTTGTTATTATTTATTGGTTTGTTACATCCTTTGCAAAGAAAACAACTGAACTTGATTGGCCTGATTTCAGTATGACCGATTTCAGATTATTATTATTTTGTTGGTTGGTTTCATGGGAGCAATGGTACTCAATTGTGTCTATTGAATACTTTTTAAAAAGATTAAATTTGAATCTTTACATGAAGAGAATGAGTACCCCGTGTATGGGTTTTGTGCATATCTTCACCCATAATAATCCTTAAGGCTTGTTCCATTATGCTGTGAAGTAATAAATGTTACTTTCAATAACTTCAAATAGGTACCATATATTTACGTTATCTTTTGCTTACCTTGAAATTGTTATGTATAATCCTTTTTCCTTTCCTTCTTGTTTGGAAACTGGAGAACTCGAAATATGCGAAGTACAAGCACGTGGACTGCAGTGAGATTTATGATACATATGGAAAACTGTTCAACGACACAGTGACTTGACTAAGTACGCGTTGTCCCCATCAAAGCTGTCACAGCGTGGTTTTGAGTTGGGTACAGATAGGGATTGAGATGATGCCGACGACAAGTTCCTAATCAACGTGGAAGAAACTGATTCTAGTGGAAGTCTGAACGAAGACAGAGGAAACTCATCCATGAACATTTTCGGGAGACGAAGTGGGGATAGACGGAAAAGGCAAACAATGAAGGGACAAAGAAAGTAAGAAAAGGTACAGTGCCCGAGATGTTTCGGCATCGCTCGAGCAGATGGTTAGCATCGGAACGGATCTCGCCTCAATTACGAGATCACATCGTAAAGGAGAAATTTCGATCGCTGAGTGTGTCGACAAACTTCTGTCGTCTGGTTACATGAAGAAGGCTAATGTACTCCACTTGTTTTGTGGTTCCTCTATGACAAAGATAACCGAAATTCTTATTGTGCTGCAAAGACAACAGCTCTTCGTTTCAAGTTTGTGGAGTACTGTTTTGAGCAAGACAACACGGGCAACAATGAAAGGGGTGACTCAGTGGCCTTCTGCTTCTGTGGTGGTGGTGTTTATTTGGTTTTTTTAACGTTCCAAACGTTTTTCCCCGTATTATGCATGCTGTAGAATTGTAACATAATTGAACTAGACAATTTTCTATGCCCAATTTGAATATGTTGTCACTATTGTGATGTGTACTTTAGGTATTATTTATATATATTCCATATTGCATGTGAACCTACTATGGTGGTTGAATGCATTAGATATAGAGAAGCAGCAAAACCCAGAGAGTGGGATCTAGCATCCATGACCAATAGCTAAAAGAGACAACACTTTTTTAAACAAAACTCATTTATATCCCTATCATCCCGGCTTACAGAAATTAGTGACAAAACTACGGTTAGGTGTCTCTAAAAGAAAAAGATAACAACATTTCTTTAGTAAGGAAAGAAGTTAATCTTTATACTACCAAAACTTTTTCGCCGAATGTAATGCTTCGTGTCAATATTAATGATGGGAACTCTAGAGTACAGTATAATAGAAGAAAGTAAATAAATTTAAATCATAAAATTAGATAAATAGTACTGCTATACGTGCTAATGAAATCTATTACATACATCTACCACTCCACCACAATCTGTGTTTTGTTGCTATTATTTTATTCCACTTTGCATGTGATCAAACATAAAGCAAATGGAAATGCAGCTTTTTAATTGGAAAGGAATATATTCCCTGAAACTTGCATTGATGAGTCTTCAAGTACTCAAAATTTTTTTGAAAAAATATTCACTATACTTCTTTGAAAGGGGCCATCATTAGTACCATTTGCACTCTATAAATTACAAACGCAAATGGATACAATTGAAGGAAGAATTGTACTTTGAAACCATACAAACACCTTCCCACGCTATACATTCAGCCTTACTTCATGTCGATATTATCGAAGGAGATGTCAGACGACTCAGTGGTTTTCTCGGGTTCAGAAACAAATTATGACATTCAGTCCATGTCCGACAATGAGTGGAGTTCCGACGAAGACGTGATGCAGCAATTAGGAGAGAACATTACCACATGGCTCGAATATTATTGAGTTGCGAAGCGTACTGTTTGCGAGTACTTGGCACCGAATGGAGCACGTCGGTATTTATTCCCAACTACACAGTATGGCCACATCTCATGCTGCAGAATATACATGTCTATCTGCAAACATGTTTTCAAGAGTTTAGGATCTATCCACCTATGTTCATGTACTTCACGCACATTCTTCGTGACCAGTATAGCATATTAAGTAGCATGAATATCGACGTGTACGAGAAGATGGGCGCACTATTTTAAGACGGTGCTGTGTGCATGCTTGGTATTCACTGTTACAATTGTAAAACCAGTTTCGACATACAACGGAAGTGCTACCTACCATCAGCTCGATTTGGAACGTTACCCTCTATTCTAGGTTTGCGACATTCATTCACGAAGCTTAAGCTTGGTTTCATTGCGACAATGACATAAATTATGAACTTGACAACAGACGTTTATGATCGTCAAATTGCAGGACTGCATTGTGCAATTGACGGGACGCACGTCAGAGCTATTTTGTCGAGTCACAGGAGGGAGAATTTCATAGGAAGAAAGGATATTCCGACCTAGAATGTCTTGGCAGCCTATGATTTTAACCTATGTTTTATATTCGTGTTGCTAGGAACAATAGGGAACACGCACGACAGTTACATATTGGCTCGAGCAGTGCATAGTTCGGAAATAAATTTCCTGCAACCAGTAAATGGAAAATATTACCTTGTGGACTCGAGGTTCGCACACAGGCCTGGGTATATGGCACCATATAAGGGCTCCAACATTAGATATCATTTCCAAGAGTTTGGGAGCTCAGCGAGCAGACAACGACGTCATTTTTGTAATACACACAAGAGATTTAGTTTCCACCACTCTTCATGTCGGAATGTTATCAAACGGGAATTCGATGTTTGGAAATAGAGATGGAAGATTTTATATCGAATGCCAACTTATAGTATGAGATTGTGCAAACTGCTGTGGTCGTGGCCTCAATGGGAATCCATAGAAGAAACTGTCGGCTTGACGAGAGTTTTCGGGAGCTAAATAAGTGGACGATGACGAAGTGGAGATCGACCTTTCCAATGAACAGGATGAAATTGTCATCGAACTGGATGCAATAGGCGCGAAAGACATGTTGCAACAGCTGCGTGATTATATGGCACAGGCACTACGTTAGTAACGCCTATTGATGGGGACAAGAAGAAATTTTCTGTTGCATGCATTTTCTTATTTGTGTAACATATTTTCATTATGTTGGTGCGTGAAGTGTCGATGATGGGGACGTTGTCATCGTTAATTAGAAGTTGTCCACCAACAATTAGGTACCATGTAGCATGTTTATTTCCATATTAATAAAATGATCGTCTCCTGTTTATAAAATTGTCTATCAATTTGTGAAAGTGATACGTGTTAAAGACATTACACCATGTGGCCGAAATTGTTGACTCGTCGTCAAGGGCATTTGTGAAAAAATGCAAATTAGGTGAGGTTGAATTCAATGGTCGTTGGCAAATTGCAGGCTGACTGTGTCAAAAACATTAATTATCTTCTTTTTGGGGCCCACGGATGGCAGCAATAATTTGGAGAGAATGGGGGCAAAACAAGACCTTAACATTACAAATGGAAAACCTTCAAGCCGTTTAACAACTTTTGGGATTGAGAGGTTAGATTTATTTTTTTTAAACTAGTCAAAGTTGAACCAGCATCGCACGCTATTCTAAAATATTTTATAAGAGATGTAAAAATAATATTTGGTACCAATTTGTTGAAGGATTTGATGAGTTTAGGACGAATTAAAGAAAATAAAATTTAGTATATGAATTTAAAAAAAAAAAATTGTATTCAAATGGTACTCTTAAAACTCAATTTTTATTATTTAAATTTTTTGTAATGATGAAATATTATAAATGAGCAATATTTTTATATTACATTTAATACATAAAAATTAATTGTTAATACATAAATTTAAATACCAATTAAAATTTCTAGATACATGAATATGAATAAATTCATCTATAATACCTCTAGATCCATGTAATTCAAGATTCATCAAGGGAAAATTTATTGAATTTAGGTTAATGTGAATGTTAATTAATTGAGAGTTAATATTACAAATTTCATAAATGATAATAATTATGTAGTATTTATTACAGATCGAAAAATGAAAAGTAAGGTATTATTGAAATAATTGAATTGTAGGGAGGTTAAAATCGTCTAAAAAATGATTCTCCCTTGATGTGCTATTTTAATATATTATAGACTAAATAGAAAAAATCGATAATATAGCTAGAAGATAGAACTATCTATCATTATTTCAGATGATGAATAATTTCTTGGTAGATTAATGCATTTAATTATGTTAAAATTCACTTGGATATAGTGATTTCACTTAATTAAATAGAATTGAATTTATTTTAGAATGATTTTTAATTGAATTTTGAGAAGTTTGGCCAATTACACATGTTAATTATTTTTTACTTCGTATGATAAATTAAGTGGGAGAGTTAAGATGAAATCCTGAATGCTAGAGTTTTTTCACATCATTTTAATATAAAAACCAAACTTTCAATTAGTTAGCTAATCATAGCTTGAACTTTAGATAGGGATGGCAACGAGACGGATCGGCCATTCCCACCCCGTCCCATCAGAGTATTTTGTCATGTTGCCCTATCCGGCTATCCCCATACCCAATTAGAGGTGTCAACGAGTCGAACTGAGCCGAGTTAGACCAAAAAATCAAAACTCGACCCGAGTTTTCGATTTGAGCCTTATTGAGCCAAGCTAACTCTCTCTCTCTCTCTCTCTCATAGGCAGTGTGTAGCTGCCTTCATTTAGACAACAGTTGTGCGCTGTATTTAAATTAGATAGTCGCACGCTACTATTTATTTGTTTGTTTTTCTTTTTTCTATTTTTGAGCCGGCTCGAGCTCAGCTCGATACCTCAAGATGGGGCTTGGTCCCGTTAAGCCTTGAGTTGGGCCGGCTCTAACTTTCTCCGGGCCGAGCCACAAGCAGTCCGAGCCGGCAAGACAATTTGCCATCTCTATACCCAATTAAAGTGGGATGGGATGGGGACGGAGCAGGATCGTGGTATGAGGCTTTGTCCCATTTATCGCCCCATTTTATTTTTCATTTTTTTATTTATTTTATTTTTTTGCTTTTATTTTTTTATTGTTATGCTTTTGGTTAGTAAATATTTTTTTTTTTTCAAGTTTTTAAGAACAATTTATGTTTTCTTTAAAAATGATGATAAATTTTTTATTTATGTTTGATAAAAATTTAAATTTGAAGTTTACTTTAAACTTCGCGGGTAGTGGGACTGGGACTATGTTTCTTGTACCCGTTTCGGAACAATGACCCCGTTCCGTTTAGCCAGTTAGGTAGGTAATCATTGACTCATTGGGGCGAGGTTTGCAGGTATTGGATTGAACAGTTTTTTTTTTTTTTTTTTTTTTTTTTTTGTTTTTGGGTTTTGTTTCCCATCCCTAACTTTAGAACATTTATTAGAATGAAACTCATTTCCATGTTAAGTTTTATCACTGGTTCAAATAAATACTAGAATATTTAGGTCAATAATTGGTAATACGATTCTTATAGGAACGATAGTCTGGAGTGGACTCCTTAGGTCCAATTTACTACGAGTTTGACGATATCATACACTTGGAATTTCCAAACGGAACCCACCAATCCCATTTCACCCTTTCATCCATTCCTACCACCTGAACTTATTCCACCATAAGTAGAATTCTAGTGGGAATGTCCTTATGTAATTCTATAATTACGATGTAAATATAAAGCAAATTGAGGTTGCTCATTATTAGCTCTTAAGTATTTATTCTTAACACGGAGTCGTTTGAAACGTCCACCAGTGTAGGAAATATTGGGTTTGGTTGTCCAGGCTAACTTTCCATGTCAAAAGATTTTTTCCTTCCGAATTAAAAACATTCTTGGATGCATCAAAATGAGAAGATGAACTCAATGCCCGTTGAAAGAATTTAATAGAAGTGAAAATAATTATAAAGAGAAACGAAGTGGATAGAGAATGGTTTATTTAGTGAAAATGATATCTTAAAACCATGTAGTGATAAATCACATACAAACACTTGTTCAATGAATTC